ACCATAAAGGACGCAGGCTCAAAGAATTTGTTTGTGGGTGTTGATTCTGTTGAAGTTGAACAGGCTTATTACGACATACGAGCATTCTTTATAACTAAAAATGTTGTGAACGACAATATCAAGATGTATGCGAACGGCAGGTACCTCTTATCTTGACTGTATTATGTATTTCACACTTTTTGTCTCTGAATAAAAATATAACGGACTTTTGTATCAAAAACTGTTCATTGGAATACACTGTTAAATACTGGATATTCAAATATTATATGTAAACATTGAATCACATGAATCGAAAATGATAGCAAGCTCCACTAAGAGTAATTCTTTTCGATATTTTAATTAAAGACCCTTACAAAAAATTAATATTGTATATTACATTACGACGTGAGAACTGTAACATTTGTTTCTTGTTGTTTCTGCGAAATGCTTAGATAATTTATCGCCCCCAGCTTTTTACAAATTAAAAGCAGCTGTTAGTTACCATTTTCATTGTAGATTATTACATTCATATGAAAATACGTACTATGTATTTTTGCCATTAATCTTCATTAATGTGCCTTCAACATTATGTACCTACAACAATATAAGGGAAGTATATATATTTACTATAATACTATTTAACTAAACACATTGATCGTTAAGCTTTAGTCGATGTTTATGTTAGCTGCATTGAAAATACCATATTTACATATGTAGTATTAAATTGCTACCTACTCTGTTAACTATTGACCTTCATAATGACTAATTATTGAAAACTAAATATGGTACATCCCAGAGTTACTTCTCAACTTGGCAAGTGTAAACAATTTGCTCTTTTAATACATTTTTATTATAAACAGCCTAATTAGTATTTTTAGCTGATTCATTGACAACTTTACTTTTCTATGATTTCTTTTTGCTATTCTATGAGATCTAGCACACTAAAAGTAGATAAGCCGCTCTGCATAATTGAAGTATATTATTGACCAAGCCAAAAATTTTGCTTGGAATTGAGATAGAAATAAACCATGAAATCAGGCCTGATAGTAGATCAGATTAGAAAGTGGTCCAGGATTAATTTTCTTAATTAAACCTGAGCTAGTCTGAAAAAGCAAAAGAGAACTTAACAAAACACTAACCATAAGCCTAGAGCAATACAAGCAATACAAAGCTTGAAGTATACCATATCAAATAAATTTTAGCCCATGGAATGATTTCTTACTGCCAGAGCTTTGATTCCAAGTTCCATTTCCTAGTTTTATTCCTTGGCTCAATTCCAAACTCGATTATAACTGAGCTCAAATCCTTGGTGCAGTAATTAGGTATCCTCACTTAAATTGGGTACTATACATTACAGCACTAAATTCATTTATTCAATGTTCAGATTATTTTGCAATTATCATATTATTTACCCAAACTATACAGACATATTTACTAAGTATTTTGTTATTGTCACCACTAAGTAAGATAGTCAAACAGACACAATTTCATTTCTTGTTTCAATCACAGTTTAGCAGTATTAGATGTTTTTATTACTTTTATTTTGTTCATTCGAAGAAATAGATGGCAAATTTCCAGCTTTCAGACTCAATCATAAGCTCATAAACTCAACCAGCAACATTTCCAGCTGAACTTAGGTTAACAAATTTGTCATTTTAGCATGGTAAAAATACCAATGAATCACTTCAAAATGAAGAAAAAGTGATTAAAGGCATACTTCATATGACTCTAGTGCTTTTTTGGATTAGTTATGCATGATGAATAATGGAAAAGGATTAATTTCAAATTTGCCTCCCTTTCTGTAAAAGTAGTGTAGCATGCACTACTTTTACAAATTAATGCTCCAGTCAGTGTGAACATCAGCCCCTAACTACCCGGAATATTCAGGGAATTAGCAGGGCAATAGCAGCAGGGCAATAGCAGCTAGACAATGGTAGCAGGGCAATGGTAGCAGGGCAATGGTAGCAGGTCGATGGTAGCAGGGCAATGGTAGCAGGGCAATGGTAGCAGGGCAATGGTTGTGGGGAATAGTAGCAAGGTGGGGCAATGGTAAGAACAATGGAGCAATGGTGCAGGGCAATGGTAGGGACAATAGGAAGGTGGTAGGGCAGTTAGCTGGGCAATGGCAGGGTAATGGGGCAAATAAAGCAGTGGAAGGCAATGGTAACAAAGAAGACAAATAGAATGGAAAGAAGAAAGTGGTGGAATGTAGAACAAAATGGAAGAGGGAACAATGAAGGAAATGGTAGAGGGAATGGAATGGAATGGAATGGAAGGAATGGAAGAATGGAATGGAAGGAATGGAAGAAGGAAGAGGAATGGAATGGAAGGAATGGAAAGGAATGAAAGAAGAAGGAATGGAATGGAGGAACGGAAGAAGAAGATGGAAGGAATGGAATGAAAGAAATAAAGAAGAAGAAATGGTAAGGAAGGAGGGGAATGGAAGGAAGAGGAAGGAAGAAGGAAGAATGGATGGAAGAAGGAATGGAATGGAAGGAATGGAGAAGGGGGAAGGAAGAATGGAATGAGAAGAGGAAGTGGAAGAAGAAAGAGGAATGAAAGAGGGAAGGAAGAAGGAATGGAAGGAATGGAAGGGAATGGAAGAAAGAAGGAAGAACAATGGTAGCAGGAATGGAAGAAGGCAATGGTAGCAGGGCAGTGGGCATGGCAAAGCAGGAATGGCAAAGCGGGGTAAATGGCAGCAGGGCAATGGTAGGAAGAAAGGGCAATGGTAGCTGGGCATAGGGCAATGGCAGGGCAGTGGTAGCAGGGCAAGGGTAGCAGGGCAGTGGTAGCAGGGCAAGGGCAGGGCAATGGTAGCAGGGCAAGGGTACCTGGGCAATGTTAGCCGGGCAGTAGTGGAGAAATTGTCCAGAATTGGACTATTGAGTTGAATGCTAAAACTGTGTTTGTAACTGATAAATTTTTTGTTGCATTGTCAGTTTTGCTTGCCACAAACAATCTATTTACAATAAACCTTGTGTCATAAACTGATTTCACTAAGCTTTAGGGTGGAGGTGTCATTTTGTTGAGATTAGAATGGTAAAAATGCCTTGCATGCTAGGATAGATCTGGGTGTTAGTCCATTATCAACTTTCAAATTTAATTCTCCAAGTACTTAAGGGCCGGTGCTTACAATGGCTAGTGCTTTAAAACAACTCAACTAAAAATTAAGGTACTGTGTTCACAAAGCACGGCACCAGAAGAATTTAATGCAATTCAAACTTTTGCTTACAGTCCTCAAATTCTGACTGTTAACAAACCTATGTCTTTTGAAGGGTTGTAAATCTCTGTATTACTTATAATTTGAGGTATATGTATTTAAGAAATATAGGATGTTACTGTGTTTGCACAGGCCTAAGCAAATGGAGGAGACCTTTGGAAGAACTCAAGTGCTGATCAGTGCAGGCTGAAGACCGATGGTCCCGTAGCACCCTCTCTAGAGTTCTCACAAAGGTCTTCTCGGTTTGCATAATTCAGTGCAAACATGAAAAAAACTTTTATTTCTTTTATAAATGATGTGAAACAGACAAATTTAAACAAACTTTTTAATATTTCCTCTAAAATTTATTCATAATTGATTTGCAAATTCTCTTTGATTGATTGATTGATTGATTGATTAATTGATTCTCAATATAAATATTAGAGCCCAACAAATAATTTTAAACATAGTCATTAACAATTTGGTTTTCAAAAACTTTCACAGCTTTATCCCACTTTCTTACAAGCGCAACTTAATCTCTGGCCTATAACACCGCTTTTTCAAACTCTGCTCTAGTTATGAGACTTTTCATGCCAAAATTGAAACCACCAGAAAACTAGTCAAACTCAATTGCTATCCAACTAATATGTTCGACCACATTGTCCGTCGTTTCCTTGACACAAAATTCGAAGAGAAACCACCTGTCCTTAGTGTCCCAAAGAAAATAGTGTATTTCTTTCTCCCATTCACCGGCTGTCACTCGTTACAAATCCGCACACAAATCAATCGTCTCTACAACGCTGCTTTCCCTCATCTCAATGTCAGATTCGTCTTTCGTACCCTCACACGAATCTCTTAATTTTTTCCCGTTAAGGATAAAATTCCCAAGTCTCTGAGATCCTGTGTTGTTTATTTATACACGTGTCGATGCTGTTCCGCGTCGTATGTGGGTCAAACCACACGCCACTTACACACCAGAATCTCGGAACACTTGGGGACTTCTCCTTTGACTGGAAAACGCTATACTAACCCATTAATGTCAAGTATTCTTTCTCATAGTACCTCCTCCAACCACTCTGCTTCGCCAGACGATTTTAAAATCATCTCATCCTGCTCCGACACATTCGACCTCATGATCCACGAAAGCCTCCTCATCTCCAAACAAAACCTTCACTTAACACCAAAGGCAGCTCCATCCCTCTTAAGCTTTTCTAGTCTCAACACCTCATCCTAACAATACATCACACTTACATCACACAATACATCACATCACACTTACACATTCACAGTAATTTGATACCTCAAACTATGTAAATAGCTCTATATATATCTATATTCTTGTTAACTTCCTAATTAGTCTGAAGATGTCTTGAGTAAAGACGAAACGTCACTCTTTTAATAAATTTCATAAAACCAAATTGTTTATGACTATGTTTAAAATTATTTGTTGGGCTCTAATATTTATATTGAGAATCCGTTTCCCGCCTGGCACTTCATTGGCAACAATATTGACTAATTGATTGATTGATCAATTGATTGATTGATTGATTGGTTGATTGATTGATTAATTGATTGATTGATTGATACTAAACATCAATTGATTTAAATAGATCGTTTTACAGCGTTTCAATTACGAGCCGTTTTTTTGCTTTCTTTATATTCCAGCCACTGGTTCCAAATGTATATTAATTATTTATTGTATATTTGATTTTAAGGATGTTCCTGAATTGTGATTTGATTGAACGTATTTTCTCCTGACACTAATCTTGGCACATCTGACTAAGAAAATAAGAAGTTTATTTTGACAAAAAGTCTTAAGATGTCGGAAATAGTTGACTGTATCACTTGGATTGTCCGGAAGTCGTGTTGGTCATTTTATGTGTTCTGTAAGTTTCTTTTACTTCGTTTTCTTGATCTGTTGGGTCTTATTTTCAACATCCTTGCTTGTCTAACGATAATAAGACTACCATGTATGATAAGACAGTTCATCGACATGGACAGTATGGTTGAATGGCGGTTATTTGGTATCATTCAATTTTGCATCTTCCTTTTCGATATACCAGTGATGTTCATGGCTCTCGCTCTTTTTGTTTTTTCTTTTGGCCTGCTTTACATTCCCATGGTGCGAGAAATTCAAGAGAAAGGAATAAAGTGCGACTATAATCATAGAATTGATAAGTTATACTTTGGTGGTTTTGCACTTCGAAAATTAGTGGCTCGTTGTTTTCTTCAACATTTTACAGGAATGTTATGCATCCCATTGCTTTTCATCACATTATTGTCTTGGCGCTCCGTTATTCTTGTCAAGAAGCTTCGTCAATATGATTATTTTAAGTGGGAATGGCGAAAAGTTATTCTCTTACAATTTTACAATTGTTTGTCGACATTCCTTGTGTATTCGTGCTATTGTTTGTCGTCATTACGTGGCGTTTACCCTTTTATATTCACGAGGTTAAAAAAATACGAAAGACTCGTGGTTGGAGTCGTTGGCGCTATGTGGCTTTTAAGCATTTATTTTTATTATTTGTAGACCTTCTTTGTTTACTTTTATGTTGCTTAACACTAGTCACATGGCGTTCTGTGTTTCTTGTTAAAACACTGCTGAAACAAAAATCTGACAACCCTACTAAGAATTTACTGTCCAATCGCTATCAATGGAAAGCCAGACGCATTGTTGTCCAACAATTTCTTCTCATCTTTGTCGATATTCCTTGCATTTTTTGTTTTCTTATCATTTTGATAACGTTATGGCGTTTACCGCGATTTATTAAGAACATTCAAAAAAGTGAGTGGAAAATAAGAAAGAATTGTGTATACCAAGCTGGAATGATGTTCGTGGATTTATCCTGTTTCTTTATCTTAGCAATAGTTTTCATTACTCTATGGAGACTGAATCCATTTCTAAAGGATTTACGAAAGTACAAGAAACGAGACTCTGAGAGACGATCTACGGAGAGCGCTGTTTCTAAGACAGAAATATACGTTGTATCTCGTACAGCTTCGTGGAAAATCAGAAAGACAATTTGCAAGCATTTCATTTTCCTATTTATTGATATACCAGCCATGATAGCTTCTATATTCATCTTCCTTACCGTATACAGAATACCATCTTTGATGTCAAAGCTTATTCAGTCTGGGAACTTTTATGTTGAATTTGCTATGATTATTTTCATGGAAGTGGGAAAGTTATTCATCGATATGATTTTCATGGTTTTGTTTTTTCTTTTCATGATAATGCGTCCCGTTGCATCTTGGGTGTACTTGCTCGAAGATGACGACCATAAGCAGTATCGTCTCGTCAGTAATCATTTAAAATGGATTCCTGATATGGTCAAAGAAACGCGATTAAAACTGCGAATTGCGTTGGATGAAGAGTTTTCTCTGTGTTTCAAAGATGGAATTGATGTTGTACGAGCACGCTTACGCATGTCTCAAGTTTGTCTGCCATATTTAGAAAAGTGGAGAGCATTACGCGAGAAGATTATGGAGAACGATGCATATACTGATCTTGCTCATTTGATTGACACGGTTATTTGGTATGAAGGAAGAAGGCCTTACAAAATGATTCGTCTCTATGCCTGTGAACTTGCATATCTTGCAAAACCAGTTCCACTTGTTCACGATAAAAATCTTTTCCAGTATCGCAAAGAAATGGAAATGTTTGAAGAGAAAGCCGAGTCAGCGCACAGCAATCTTTTGAAGTTTACACCGGCTAAAGTAAAACTTTGGACGAATAAAAGTGGGCTATTCGTAAGAGACCGGAAGGAAACTCAAAAAATATTGTTGGCATTACCCGGTGGTCACATTGTTGATATGATATTGATTTTGATTAACATCATCTTGATATACCGTACTCCTAAACTCTTCATAAGTTTGCATCGTCGTTGGTATGATCGTCATACGATTATCATGAAATCATTAAAGGAATATTGTTTAGATGGCATTACTCTGCTGCGAATATTTTTTGTGCTTATCTTTGTATATCGAGCACCAAGTCTGATTCTGGACATTACCATTGACATATTCAATAAACACAGTTGGACTGCAGTTAGAGCTACCGCCAAACGATATCCAGTAATGATTGTTAAAGATTTCGTTAATTTATTTACCATGATATTGCACTGGCGTACTTTGCGTTTTATCTTTACTGCGATACTTTATGGTTTATTAATACCAGCAGATGTTATGTTGACGGTGTTCAAATGTTCGTTTAAGAAATGTACGGCGTATATTGTCACAACTGTCTTCTTCCTCATTTTTTTAGGATTCCCATTTTTATTCCCTTTTTACTTTGGTGAGGTTATGTTGAACAATGGCTTTGGGAATAAAATTTCTTTCGCTATTGCTGCATATGGGTTATCATTTGTCGTTCTCCAGCTACTCTTGATAAAAATCTTAATAAGAAATCGAGGAAGCAAGTTTTCCGTTGCTCCAGAACCTTATGACTATGTACGTATAAATTGGGAGAATGTACATATTATTGTGTTCGAGGTTGTCGAAATGTTACAATTGGTAGCCCTTGTTTTTAGCATGTCCGGCATACCAGTGGCTGGTAACCGCATTCTCTATAAATACTCAAACTATTTGCTTTTCAACTTTTTATCGTTCGAACTCAAACTGTCACTCACTGTTGCAGCGTTTACGACGTGGTTTGTAATTTGTGGAGCTCCAATTATTTTTGAAAATATTTTAGAAGATTTACGTGAAGGAAAGTGTGCAGCAAATGGGGATGGAGGCTACTCATGTCTATATTTTCTAATACATTATTTATCTCAATTATTGAAGGATTATGTGGCTTGGTAGCTTGTAAATATCCCAATGTACCTGGAGCGATGGCAAATCACAGTAATTTTACATTGGTACTCATTGACCAGGAGTCAATATCATGCTGGCAAGGAGAACATCGTGGTATTGCTTTGTTTGGTTTGTGGGGGTTCTTTTGGTACACAATTACTGCAATTGTCTATGGTACAGAATATGGTGAAGTTGACAGTCCTGATGCGGACATCAAATTTTCTCCAGTCTACAATACGTTGATAAATCTTGTGAAAGCCGTCATGATCGGTAGCGTTGTATTGTTTTCAGATGAATTCTATTTTGTTTTGGGTTTGCTGTTTGCACTTTCTCTAATTGCTCTAGTCTTCACGCTTTCTTTTGAACGCATATTTGGATTTGCTTCGTGTAATTCCGTGTCAGTCAGTTACTTTCGTGTCGCTTCGTTTGTTATTTTAAGTGTTGCAGTCATAGCAGCATTCGTTGCAAAGCGTTTGGGTGATAAACATTCATTCTTACCCGTGGGAATCCTTCTTGGTGCAAGTTTTATCACATTACTCGTGTTTTGTGTTGCATCTTATCGTCGAAAAAAGCTAACAAACACAGAAATACAACGTGCCTTATTCCGTCAACTGATCTTGAAGCTTGAGAGCAGTTTGGAAGGAAATTATATGATATCTTCTTGGAATAGCAAGAGAAAACAATGGCGTAGACTTGTAAATGGCGTTTACCATGCTCAAAAGTATGACAGAAATGTTTCACCTGAAGTCTGGCAGGGAATTGAAATGACAGGCACAAGTTTTGAAGACGCTATTCCTCCAGCATCCCCTCCTTCAGAACTGACATTGCAACATCCAGTTTTAAGTGCACCACTTACTTCAGATTTTTCGAGTGCAAGACACGGATCTTCATTTAATGTAACAAGCACCATCCCTTCCCATCATTCTAGTGTATCTTTAAGTGAAGAAAAACCGGGGGAATTGCATACTCTTTCGCCAAGTAGTGAAAGCAATGATTTGGAGAACACTGTTAACAGTGACTGCCGACTTATATCGGTGATGCCTGACAAGTATGATGACCAATATGACGTATATGATTTTTTGAAAAGTGCTGGGAATTCTAATCCTTTAATTGATGATTATAAACACTTTCAAAAATCAATGAGTAGATTGCAGCGCTATGGAAAAAGTCTTCTTTTATATTTTGAACGTCACATTTTCTTTCGTGCGTTCTCATTCTCATTTGTGTTACAATTACCATTGTGGCGAGATGCAGTAGCAGGCAGTGATTGGACTGGGTTAGTTCATTGTATTCAAGTCCTCGAGAATTCTCTCACCGGAAACTTCAACCAACCCACGTCTCTCGATATATCGCTAGGTGACGAATATATGTCGCCTGGCATACTAGGTGATGACCCGGATGATGGCTCACCGCCTGCTTTCACTCCTGAACCACGTGACCCAGAAAGCATCAAACGCATATCTGATGGTGAGCGAGAAAAGGCGTTACACGATATTGAACGTTTGTGCTCTGAACATCTGACGTGGTGTGCTGTGTTCGACAAACTTTTGCCAAAAATACCGGTTATTCGTAAGTGGAGCATCGAAGATGAATCACACAGTTTTGAACTCGTTTTACGACGTTCTTGCCAAGCGAAAATTGTTGATGTTGGACCCAAAGGAATTAAACTAGCCAAAGGAGCCGTGATTGCTTTACCTAAACTTGTCAAAGGCATACTTCACGATAATCGCCTGAAGTTTGAAAAACACTGTGAGCCAATTGGCAAGAAGGGTCCATTGTCCGTTTCACTTTCCGAAGTTGAAATATTGAAGATAGGGGAGAAAATTTATTTCGGTTCGAGTGGAAAAAAGATCAGCGTAGAGAAGGCTATTAACTCTGTAAAAGAAATTGAATGGTACTGATTAGGTTAGTGACCGTATTCCATATAGACAGCGGAAGGAAATATTTGTATTTCTGTAGCATACAAATATTTAAATAGATCATTGTAAGTATAGTAAGTATAGTTGTAGTGTAAAAATAAGTAGTTAAGTAGGTAATCGTATATTTATGGAGGTATTGTAGTAGGGAGGCTCTTTTTTTCTCGCTCTGTAAACTGTAAAGTTTTGTTACCTCACAGTATAATAAATGAAAGGAATCGTTTCAAACCGTTTGCATCGTGAGATCTAGATACTACACACTCAAACACAGATTTTTTAACAAATAACATAGTTAAAAAAATTGTTTATAGCAATGGTAGGTATTTTTATTACTTTGTAATCAAAATCTTAGAATATGGCCCTTGCAAAACAGAGTGGGTGTTGAAAATTTCTCACTTCATGAAGCTGGAAAATCAAGAAAGTAAGTTAAATGACATGTTTTCACAGCATTGAATATGATATCATTGGTGGTCTTGGCGGTGTGACGATATTGCTAAAAGAAAAAATTTGCGAACAGTTTCGGTTTGTCAACGCTGCAACATCTTTTGCAATGAGATACGTTATCCAGTTTATTTTTAGATCAGTTGAAACGAGGAGCACGCGCAAAATTGTTGCCGGAAGCTTTTTTGTCATAAAGACGAGGCTGTTATTGTTTCGACACATGCATGCATGTAATCGGCGGGCAAAATACAGCAAATGTCGCCTGATGAGTCTTGCCTTGAATTGGAAAAATACGTTCGGAAGAGCGTTGAAAATTTATTCTCACCAATGGTTATGGCTGCTGAGCCTGGAAAATCAGGCATAGAGTTAGAAAATTCAAGTAAATTATCTGTCTATACAAGGAGTAAAAGCCCCAAGAACATAGAAATTTTTGCGAAATCATTATCTGCCGAAATAAGGAATGGTGTTATGGCTCCACGAAATATAGCGATATCCGTTGAAACTAATGAAACTAACGAACGTGGCGTGAAAATGGAATCGAATTCAGCTAGCCCGATGAAAGCGATAGATGGTTATGGGGAAGAAAAGTTATTTTCTCTTGATAATAACTCAAACAATAATGGTAACTCTGATGTATCTTCATCACCCCAAGAGAAGTTAATTTTGTTGCATTCGAACCTTATTGAGCGTCAGGAGCAGATTATAAGGAAAAAGGACAAAGAAATACTTGATTTGAAACAAGAAAAAGAACAGGTGTGGTTTTGTTTTTGTCTTATTTTTGGTGGATGTGTAGCGGCAAACTTAGGACTTTACTTTTGTAATTTGATGTTGCCGACTTTGTTTTGTGAGTCAGCGGCCGGAACCATATTTTAGTCATTACTTCATGTGACTCTAGTTTTATCAATTAATTACGATGAATACTTATGTGGCTCTGAGTTGATTTTCTTGTGCTGTTACCCCCACTTCCAGTAGCATAGCTATTCTTTAGCCTTGTTTTGAACATTTCAGAACATCGTTAATTTTCAAATTTATTGTTTTCACTTTGAGAAAACAAGGAAAAGTTTTGGACTAATAATGGCTGGCTACTGTAACAGCAAATATTACTTGTACTGTTATTGGTTGTAGTTTGAGCAGAGACTGAGTCTTATTGGACTGGAACTTAGATTTTCTTGTTTGTCTGTATGGGGAATATATTATTTATTCACCCCATGTTTTCTTGTTTTCTTTGTTAGAAAATCTATAATTCATACTTTGGAGTCCATATTGATATATCTCGATGAAATTGCTTTTTGCAATTTTTTTCTTTACATTTCACTGTTGTTACAAAGACTAATAAATATTTGCTCAAATATCAATGAATCTCATTGCTCTTTCTCCAAACAGTAATTTCAATGGTTATGCATTTATGCTAGTATGTTTATAAGTTTTCCTTATGTTCATATCGATCGAATTATTGTTTGAATTCTTGTATTGATTGATTACTTCAAATGATTACACAAAAAAAAGTTTAAAATTCCTTCTTCCCATTCCAAATCCAGAAATTGCATTAATTACAGTATTTATAATTTGAACAATTGCATTAGTATACTAATCAAATATGAAGAATAATTAATGTTACTTTGACGGTGGACATTTTTTTTCTTTTATTATTGAATGGTTTGACACATGGAATTTTTTTCATGTTGATGTTGTGCCCCCTTAATGTATTTGAAAGTGGAAATCAATTGAACTGACCTATGCAGCAATCATCTTTCTCTTAGAAATTACTTTGTTATTAATGTACTTTGCATAATGGTACCCATATTATTAAGGAATGATATTGGTATGAGACTACCATTCAACTTTATAATAATATGAATCCTAACACGGTCTTTATAATGAATGAAAACATGGGACTTGGATGAGATTTTAACCCGCACCTTCTGGAGGCTAGTCCACTGCTCTACCTGTTGAGATCCCAAGCCCACAGGAATCAGAGAGAAATATGTACAGCAGCCGACTTTATGAGTAGCAAAAAATAATCTTTTGAAGCACTTTTGCTTCTGTTTCCTTCTAATTAATCTATCAGATAGAAAACCATGCCATAAGCAACACTGCAAATGCCTAGGTAGAAAGCATGGAAATCATGATTATAAATCAACACATGTGTAAGAGACTTATTAGATTGACGATAGATAGATAAAAATACTTTATTTACTCACATTAGTCCTATCAACTCAAGCTCACTACCATGGGGAATAACATTGTTCAGAGATAAAGGACAAGCATTCATTGGTGTAATTTGAATCATTCACAATGATATCTGAACTTTAATGATATAACAAATAAAAGCTTCTGAGTAGGTGTTTATTTTGCCAAACAAATGTGAGATAAATTATGTGGTCAATATCCTTTATTGGTAGCCAGGATATTTGCTCAAATTTTAGGATCAAATGTAGGAGATAGTACTTGTTAAATCAAAAGAAAAAAGTTCTTGTTGTGATAACTCTGTCGATAAGGAACATTAAAAATAATCTATCTTGGCATCACTTTTTTATAAATGATGTACAAATGTTTCTCCATTTGCAGATCTGTCACTGAACGACAAGTATTTTGAATTATGCTGTTGAATATTGTTATGTTTCTTAAAGAAAGATTTAGTTATGTAATACAATACAGACTGTTAGACTGTTGAAGTTGAAACCAAATCAAATTTTCTTTTATTCTTTAGTTAGAAGCAAGAATAAAACGCATGGAACGAAGGATGACTTTGATGATGCATAAGAGTCAACTTGATAATGATGATGATAATGAACTATCTCCTTTTTTCTCTCATTCAAAGAACCGTAAAAGTCTGCATAAAAGGTTTGTGCTACACTCTACATTAAAGTGCCAATGAAGCAAAAAGTTTGCTGTCTGAGTAATACTCCTATTCAACAGATATTTTAAAATGACAATGGACATTCTAAACAAGTTTATGCATATCACTTTTAATTCTTGAGATATTGAGGTTTTTGCTTTCTCCAACTTATCTAACTTTTGACGTCACATTGCATAATGGGAACTAAAATTATTAGATATACTTTAATTCACAAGAACAGAGTTCTCTTCATTGTGACATGGTTAATGGTATAAATTACTGCCTACTGGCATCAACCTAAAGTTGTCAGGAAACTGAAGAGTATTTGAAACATTGCTGGAACTCATTATGCAATAAAAAGTTGGATAAATTGGAAATAACAAAAACGTCAAAATCACAGAATAAAAAGGGATATACATTAACTGTTTTAGAAAGTACACTGGCATTTTGAAAGTTCTAGTGATTTTAAACATAATTTAATTTGCAAAATTTTCATTTCATAGACACTTTAAATATTCTTTGTTAACTTTATAATTTTTAACATATGACAATTTATGTTGATTTTAGCAGAAAACCATCTCTAAGTGATCTAATGCGAAGAAAGAGTATTCCAGTGGCAGCACCAGTTATAATTTCATCTACGATGCCACGATCTGTCAATATGAATAAGTGTCTAAAAACTGAGACATTATACATGAGTAAAGATTTATCTTTGACTAAAGATCAACAATACGCAAATGTAACTCCAAAAAATGATGAAACTTTTGGCTCAGACGATGTACCAAGTATGAAAAATGTTTTTATCAATAAATTGGCTAACATCACATCCCAATGAAAATGTTACCTTTCTTGCTCAATAAGGGAGGGTCAAAATTTTGCAGGCTCTTTGTACGTCCAACTATGTAGTAAAAATTGTTTATTGTCATTTTTAAGTTGATTATCATTTGCCTTCAAGTATTCATAAAGTAGATGAACACATTGGTTCCTGACATACAACTTTTCATTTTTTACACTCTACAAATTTGAACAACTAGCTTAGTTTTAAATAATAACGCGAGATTTTGTCTTTTCAGTTCCTCAATTTAGAATAATTGAAAGTTACGCATCTTCTCATCAAACATGTGGATCATTAACAAGATCCTCCGTTAAAGAAGATAAATGTGACGATGCAACAGATTATGAGGTAGGAATGTGTAGAATTGCAGCTACTATACTTGTGTGTAGAACTTAATTAGTAATCTCTGCTTATTTTCGAACTCACGGATTTTATGTTTATGTTAAAGAACATGGATGACGAAACGTTCGGGAAAAGACACGCAAAACCTGAAGCTGACGAGAAAAGAAGGAAAAGGTGCTCTGCATATAAAAATATCCTCCAATATTATGGTTAATATGCCTACCCTCACACTTGCCCTGTCTATTTTCACATCTATTGTACACTCCATTCTTATTCATATTGTACTATCTTATTCATATTGTACTATTCATTCTCATACTTATTGTATACTTTCCTTTCTCACACCCATTGTAAAACAAGTAATCTATTTTCATAATGCGCATTTAATAAATACGCATTATCAATAGTGCTTTTACGCCGTTACGGTTATCTATTTTCAACGCATTTGAATTTATTGCTCATACAAAGCATCGCGCAGTAAAATTTTCTTTATATATTTGATGCACACATAGAATATTCTGGAGAAAGAAGTATAACTTACTTTACCTCGTAACTCTTATTTGTCGACGTCAACATTAGTTTGATAAGACATGATTAAGAGAAAACGCTCTTAACATGTATTGTGCAATCTTTAGATGGGATATTCAACACTATCGTGCTAGGAAACAACGCGAGGAACTCGAGGAAAAATACAAACAACGAGAAGAAGCAAGGTTGAAAGGGAGAAAGATCGCTTCAGAAAGAGAAGTAAAATCACGCGAGGAGACGCTGCTACCTGATTTTTTTCAAAGTAAGACATAAAACGTATTCATCCAGTTTGTCTCTCAAATAATGATGGAGATTGAGGCTGATTATCTTTTGGTGCATCGGAACTACTTCAGGTGTATAGGAATAGTTTGGTCAACTTTTGCTTCCAGCCACTATTTAAATGAGTGTCCATTTGCTGCCTTGTTATCATACACGCGTCTCATAAAAGTACTTGTTTACCCTAATAACTTATTTTTTATCTCAGTTGATACAGTTGAAATGTGCGAAACTGTTCCTGTGACTGCATTTGGAGCGCCCATCCAAACTTGTCCTATAACGTAAGAGCATTTAAATAAATGTAATATATATATTTTTTATATATATTCATGGTGTATTAAAAACTAAGACTTTTAAGAATTGACGTATTGTGATAATTTCAATCCATATCATTATCCTAAGCCAACGGGTGCAGTCAGCTTCGTACGTATATTAGCTATTTATCTTTATTGTAATACAATCACGTAGTTATAAGCACAATAACCTTCGCATTTAACACAACATCTAACCTGCTGTGTAATGTACCAGTGTGATTAGCGTGTAGCGATTAACATATAACTCATAGAAATTTCGCAATAGGTTCATTTCTAAAGGTCTGCTTTTTTATTTTCCCTATATGCTTGTTAATTTATAGATATCTAAAGATGTTGTTACTATATAGTAATATCTAGAAATGTATATCATTGGTATTTTATTAGAGTTTATTGCATGGTTTAGATCATTCTTTATCTAATGAGTGATAACTAGATAAATTGTGTGTAAGAATGGTATTTGTATTTCGTTAGAGAATTTGAGCTTCCTTGGTTTGACGTCGACAAACGTGAAAGACAGGAAAGAGAGAAACTAATACGAAGCAAAGCAAGAAATAGGCGGAGAGCAGGGAGAAGATATTGTAAGTTATCATAATATCAATTTCAGTATCATTGTAAAACGCTGTTGGAATCAACAAACCATTTTAGGAAATAATGCGTTCGTCTGGCTTAACTTGTTTGGTCAGTTAATCAGTTTTCTTGCATTTTACGTTTTTTCGTCTGGCTTAACTTGTTTGGTCAGTTAATCAGTTTCTTGCATTTTACGTTTTTTCGTTTGGCTTAACTTGTTTGGTCAGTTAATCAGTTTTTTTTGCCTTTAACGTTTTTTGTCTGGCTTAACTTGTTTGGTCAGTTAATCAGTTTTTTTGCATTTAACGTTCATCACAGGGAAAAGATATTTTCATGTACATTTTGTTTATTTAACAGAAACTTTCAGAAAATTTACACTTTGAATGACGTATGATTTCAAAGTTAATATTGCGTCTATTTGGATGAGCAGTGTTGTGAGTCCAAATACTCGTTTAAAATAAATCAATGGTACAAATGGAATGTATATCAAGTTGAAGTTACGGATTTCGTTGATTGTAAACACTTGATCATCGCAGATGTTAGCAGTTCTTCCCTTCATGCTCTGATGATGAACATATTGTTTTCTCTGTTCTCGGAATGGTGACATTATTTTTCTTGTATTCTGGAAATGAACACACGATTTTCTCTGTTCTCGGAATGGTGACATAATTTTTATGTATTCTGGAAATGAACACACGGTTTTCTCGGTTCTCGGAATGGTGACATAATTGTTATGTATTCTGGAAATGAACACACGGTTTTCTCTGATCTCGGAATGGTGACATTATCCTTCTTGTATTTTGGAAATGAACACACCGCTTTCGTTTTGCTCCGAATGGTGACATAATTAGAAGATCTTTCAATGTTTTGAAGGTCTTTCTGTTTGCATTTCTATTTAACTTTCTATGCAAATTTGACATTGATTACTGATGGCAAAACGTTTCCATCTCAGACATCATTTTTGACACATGAAATTACTCAAGTAATTTTGTTATGATATAAAATGAAACTTCTCGGACGATGTTGTTGTATATACATATACGTACGTACGTTATTTAGGATATCCTTTTAACACAAATAATTTTCACTCGAGATTTAAAGGATATACAAGTCAAATGTAACCCGTAAACATTATACCCAACTTTGTACCACGATTATCTTCCTAAATTCCCAGGATATTTTACAGATGAATTTCGTTCAATTTCACTTGAGGTAATGTTGTCTTGGAAATATTTTAAAATCTTGCGGATTCCTTCAACATTGCTATCGATTTTATCTTCAAGTCTCTTCAATCTCAGAGAGAAATTCTTCATATCTTCTTTCATCTCTTCCATACATGAACGCGTTTCCAATGTTTTGTTAGCTAGGTTATCGTGAATATTCCCCGATTGTTCATTCCTACCATTATCCACCGAGGTGTTTTTGGTATCTCTCTGTTCACGATGCAGTTTATTGTGAGTTTCAATTCGTGCTGTATGTTTGTCTGCGTTCAACCCCAGAAGTGGAATGGTGGCTTCTCCATTCGGTGATGTTTTAATTATTATTGGGATGTGTCCACATTTCTGATTTCGCATTTCGTGATTCTCATCATAGATCGATGTTTTGCTATCTGCACGAGATCTTGTCTGAAAATAAAACATTCAGCTTTAATGCACGATCCACACAACAGGTCTATGAAATTTGATATCATGATTGTGTGAATCAGTGTTAAGAGAATTTGGTACCAGATGATTTGGTATCATGATTGTGTGAATCAGTGTTAAGTGAATTTGGTACCAGATGATTTGGTATCATGATTGTGGGAATCAGTGTTAAGAGAATTTGGTACCAGATGCGGTACCAAATAATTTGGATTGGGTGGAAAGAGTAGGTAAACTAGTGTTCAACCAACGCTTAGGTAATTTATCAACTTTCTGGAAACTTTATAGCTACCTGTTCATGTTCACATGACAGATTGTATGTCACTTCAAATTCACTGCGGAACGTTTCCCAAAAATGTGGATACTTTCTAAGAACATTTATAAGGTCGTCACGTGATATTTCACGAAGATCACAGTACGTCAATGCTCGAATATTGCCGGTAGTTTTCTTAGCTGCACCCAGTGGATCGACATGGAAATCATCACCAAATGTGTCTCCTTGGCCTATTGGATTGCATTTGATAAAAAGTTAAAATATATAATCAATCTTTTAAACCAGATTAGAACTATAGATACAAGGGCAGCGCTGATTTTTGAATAATTTTATTACTATTATAAGTGGTGACGTCACTTAGTGATTAAATTGAAAGCCCAAGGACTTTCACTAACCTCCCAAGGTTTTCGATTACATTTCATCACTAAGTAACCAAACTACCATGGTCTTACTATGATTGCCGAAATGCTTTAGTCAGTACTTCACATAATGTGAACGATGGTGTAAATTAAATGTTTTTGTGTTTTTTGGAATACTTTGTGGTGATTTTTATTATTTCAAGCTCATAATTCGCGAGTTGTTCTACCAGTACAGACGACGTGTAAGGTCTTATGGATTATAACTTATACACATTTTTACTTATAACTTATTGATTCAACCCTAAATATTTCTATTCAAGAAGATGTGATGAGCTGATATCTTTCTAAAGATTTCTCTCAATTTTTGTTCCACCTATTATGAGCTGTGCATCCATTGCAAATATGGAGAATTATGGCGTTAGTTTGTGAACTGCCGGTGCATGTGAACGCATATAATCCAAGAATTTCGAGCTCGTGAAGTCTCGCCAGGAAGTTGGCAAAAAATTTTTCGAACTCTGCAACGCATGCGCAATGACGATTGTTACGGAAATCAAATTTTTCGAAGGAAGAAATTGTTTTTCATCCCTCTTTCAATTGAGAGTAAAATAAAAATACAAGAATTCGCAAAATCATAGGAAATTCGATTCGATAATTTATGAATGATTGAAATGCAAAAATAATCGCGCTCAAAAGATGAAAATTGTCCCGAATGATTCTCTGGAAAATAACATAATATACGTGAACATGTTATACGTGAATTTTCCACTGGTCGCAATAGTGGGAAGTTTCAAAGAAAACTTTGCACGAAAACATACCCAAAATAGCCAGAATTAGTTCTCGATCATCAACTATTTCAATGGTTCCTCGAGTGATAAAGAAAAGGCTGTCAACGTCATCTCCTTTAAAGAGAATATAATCTCCTGGTGGTAGATGAATCGTTTTCAATTTTACAGAAAATTCTCGCAGGAAACCACGAGTAGCTGACGCAAAAACTTTCTTCTCTGTGATTAACTGCCGATGCATGTGAACGCATATATCTGCTTGAAGACAATCTGGTAAGCTTTGCATAACCTTAAATAACAATCGCAAAGGTTATTGGGATAATGAAAAAGTATTCATTTATTTCAAAATTAATTTACTTCGTTCATTTCAATGCCATTTGTATAGGACCATTGATGATGTGCGTATTCTTCAATTCTTTGTCGCAGATGTTTTGGTAGTTGGTAAAAACGTATAAATTCTCGTAATTTCTGCATTTGTTCATGAAATCGTGCAGTGCTGGAGTAAAGACGAGCAATTATTGCTGCCACGTTGCCAAACACAGCTGCATAGAATAAAGCTGAAAAGAAATATTATGCAAAAGATAAGATAGGACCCGTCTGTCGGCTGTTTGTTGTGTATCTTGACGTTATGTTATCACAGCAAAAATATTAGCAATGTAAGCTTTAATGCTAATTTTCGATGTTTAATGCGAATTCAACGAAAGTAAATTGGGCACGTTTTGAACAGAGTTGACTATCTCAATGCAATCTCAAGTGACCTGATGTTGTTCATAGAATACTTACATCCTATGAGCATGATGCAGATACTGAAGATTTTTTCTGCATTTGTGTTGGGTGAAACATTTCCGAATCCCACGCTTGTTAAACTGCTCAGTGTAAAGTATAGTGCGGTGACGTATCGGGATTTTTGACTTGGTCCACTTGAATGCGTACCATTGTATGGTTGATTTGTATCTTCAGCTAGGAATCCAACCATCCTTTTACCGATGGATTTTTATGCTCGATGTTACCAATGGCAAACCAAATGCAAGCCAGCCAATGAGCTATCAATGCAAACGCCAGCATCAAAAGACATAAAACTGCTGCTCCATACTCTGAATAGTAATCTAACTTTCGTACAACTCGCACCAAACGCAGCAAACGAGCTGTCTTTAATAAACCAAACAATGTGGTGGTCTGTAAAATGATGAAAACTTATAAAGACATCAGTAAATTTATTAACGGTTTCGAGCATAAATTTATCAACAATCTATCAAACTAGCTTAACCCCCGCTCACAGTGATCAAATCAGGGCTCGGCCATTTTTGTAAGAAAATCAGGTGAAGACTTGGACCTTCATAAAGACCTGTTTCAAACTACTTTTATTCTGTTGACGATGTTAAAATTTCATTTAGTTCAAACCCAAGCTGTTTTAATGCCCGATAAGGCTGTCGATGGTATAGAGATAGCATTATACACTTACTTCCAAAGGATTACATGTAAAAATTGGTTCTTATAAGTCGTTCAAGTACTTTTAATCTTCTGGATGGTGCTCTGCTTTATATCGGCTTTCGTTCTAGAGACGACTAAAGCGACTTGAGCAACTATTTGAGAACTAGGTTTAACTACCCACATGTGTCACTCAAGGTATAATGCTATACATTCTTGCACAAGTACATTTTAGTGTACCTCTACCCTCCTCCTCTCCCATCATTCCACACTTTGATTTACTTCTAACGGCCTTGCTTTCTATACTACGTGTACTTATTATGAACGAAAACAATCGCTAAATTAAATTAATTCTTTTCTTACATAATCATGCGTATCTATAAATGTGTTAATGTATAGTCATTGGTTAGTAATGACCAAAATGAATTTTTTACCTGCTGCGTGTTTGCAATCATATAGAGCAATTCGAAAGGAATAGCCGCCACGACATCGATGAGAAACCAGGTTTTTATATAATGCTTTGCTATTCTACGTGGCCGACTTACAAAATCACCATTCAAGTCAACGTAAGTTGTACGAAGATTTATAACTATATCTACAACAAACATAAAATCGACGACGTAATCAACGATCGTTAGTGGATGAGAGTATAAATTTTTTCCTTCCTGTTCTATAGCCAAGGCAAATGATGCCATATAGGGATTTACTATAGCTGTATAAGTCACAAGAACCAAAATGAACCAATCCCAAATTGATTTAAACGGTGAATAATGAAGTATTGTCCATCGATGAACTGGAGGTGTTTGAGTTTTGTACTCAGGTAAAACGTCAGTGCCAAGTGATAATACCTGAAGATAAAAACAAGATCTGCTTCAAACTACACGCTTTCAGAAAAAGCCAAACCTATAAAATATCTTATGTTTTTTCTTTACTTGTGAAAGAAACGGGCAGTGTATATAAAATGCGGGTTTTGAAAGAAATTAGAGCAGTATTTGTTTTGTTTATTTTTCAACTTCCCGCACATTAGCCGTGAATTGTTACCATTGAAAGGTGTGATCAATGATTTCTTGAGTTCATTCTCTCTGTATTTTAGCAGTTTTTATTTAAAGTTTTCAAGGAAACTACGCATACCTGGGCAAACTTTTCAGTTTTCTTAGGCTTAAGCTCCGGTAAGGATTGCTTTCTGGAATTCACCGTCAGTTTGCCGAAACTTTGAACGCTTGTCATGGATTGTCGAGTTTTTTTATGATTAACAGCAGAAACGTTGTTATGTTTTCTGGCATTTAGTTTGGCGAAAAAATTGTCCAGTGAATCAGCTTTGTCTTGCCGTTGATCTTCCTTTTTGAGATCCTCCACCATACTTGGAGATATTTCAAAACAAGATGTCGCTCGTCTTCGCTTGTAGTCAAATATCAATGCTTCTTTTTCAATGGATCTTCGACACACTACAAGGTGTTTATCATGATTTCCACCACATGTGCCATTTTCTGTTGGCGATATGCAAGGCTGCATTAACGACTCTTTAAGCTCGATATTATTTGGATCGTTTTCTGACATCACATCACTTGACGTGAGCTTCAATGCACCTTTTGATATTCGTCTTCGAATTACTTCCCAAGCGTTGACTTTCTCACCTATAATTAACTTACATTGTTTATACTGTAGGCATACTTCACAAGTTGGTTTATATTGACGTTTTATTGAGGTCTTATGACCTCATAGCAAATACTTCAACAGAAATACCTGAATGTAATAAAGTTTTGATGTTTATTGAAGGTCTGAAAACCTTTGATGATTTTCAGAAAACATACTATATATAGCAATACTCTACTTCAAACGTTTATTTTTTCAAGCACAGCAGCTACCTTGATCTTATATACTTGCTATATAACAATACACTCACCGCGAGAAGATTCAATATTGTTGAAATTGATGAGATTGATAAAATTTTCATATCACTTTGTATCTCAAACGTAGATCGAAAATTGTCATAATAAATGAAAATATCTACCAATTGTACAGGTTATGATGATGTGTTGAACAAAGCAGACAATCGATTAACTTTGCACACAGCAGAACATAGATTAACTCAATGCCATAATTCGTGACATTTTTGACTGATATATTGTCTGACATTACAACTTTAGTCCTCACGTTGTGTATTTCATGAGATATTCTTTAAGCAGCAGCTGGCAGCTGCTAAATAAAACTTATATTAATTATTTCAGGGAGCTATATTTGCTTCTTACATTTCACCGATGACGCAGAAAATTGCCTAAAAAGAAATACTGACAAAAACAGTCGTAAAGCCAATCGTGAATTACAAAAACGACATTTCATAGAGTCAAATCAATGAACATAAGAATTCATCCAGACAAATTTATCGAAAAAAACATTTATGACAATGCTAAAATCCATTGGTCTTGCTCGTCGATGCCCATCCAATTGCAACTTTTATTAGAAGTAAAATCATTAAGACTGCTAAACGTGGCGTATACAACGAGTTTCTACAGTTTCACCATTAGCCAGCAAATTTTGTCAAGAGAAATTTCTGTCACTGCGTTCTCACAAACGGTTTTCTGTGAATGTTTTAATTGAAGCTCTGAATTGGTTTTTGTTGTCACATCTAGAAATTACACCTAAGATCTTGCACAGAGCTTCTCTCTTCCATGCAATAGACATTGGTATTACATCAACTGAGTGTAATTGATGAAATAACATGAAGTATTGTTTAAACGTATAGTCTAACAATGCTTCTTCAGTGAACGCTGAATAATAGCCACAACGATGAAAAAATAATAACTGTCAATTTTTCTTTCTACATGTTTTTTAAATTGTGAAAATTCGTGCAATGACATAATGGTATGACGTTGACCTCGAACACATTGGAGTTTAATACTCCAAGCTTTCGGCTTCGAATAATGCAAACTTTGGCCTTTATAATTCTTGACATTACAAGAAAACTGAATTTATCAACTGTCATATTGTATACATTCAAAAATAAAGCAAAAACGTCGTAAGATAAGCATTATATAAATTGTCTTACAAAAACGATATTTTGTCAGTTCTTGTCATTGTATTGTTTTGAAACACTTTCAAAACAGTTTTTCAAAATCGTGGCCAGATATTTTCCAGTCGGAAAGCGAATTTTTATTGTGAATATTATAGCTCAACATAAGACATTTAATAAAACCATTACGATAAATTAGAAAAACGTGTTTTTAATGATGGCGTTTCGTCTTCGACGTAAGGGATGTCTCTCTTTCTTTCCTTTTAAGGATAGGGTTCCCAAGTTTCTGAGAACTTGTGTTGTGCGCACATTTAAGTGTCGGGGCTGTTCCGCATCGTATGTGGGTGAAACCACTCGTTATTTATACACCAGAGCATGAGATCACTTGTAAATCTCTTCCTTAACTGGAACAACATCTTTTTGTTGACATGTAATTTATTACCCTGTAAACATACAACTATCTGCTTATATTTAAAGCCTCGTGTAAATAATTAATTTTCATCGTATCTAGAGATTTTTTATGTTAAAGACGAAACGCTATCATTAAAGAAACCTGTTATTTTTCTAATTTGTTGTCGTAAATGCATGTATTGATAAAAATTTGTAAAAAATAATCAATTGGTAAATTCCAGAGTTTCATTACCACCAACACTTTCTTTGCATCTAGCTTGGCATATTTAAAAGATGAATTTCGAAACAACGTGATGGCAAAAACTGCAAAAACCTCGTTTTTCCTAAAAGCAATCAATATTACTTTTGCCCGCTTTTTCTGTTTTGATAGGTTTCTCAGAATGACTCAGCTGCGCTATGTATGCCACAGCAGTTGACGTCTGCTATATGAATATATCTATTATTAAAACATATTGATTTTTTGCGCGTTTTTTTTTTGAAAACAGATGACCACACAGGGACATAACCAGTAGCTATAACACGAGGACGAGATCAGACGAAATAATGGTTATTCTTGGACAGACCTTACACGTTCAAAATTACTAATATGTTACGATGATGCTGATACAACGAGAATATTGAGAATTTTCCGTCGCTTTTCGACAAATCAAGAACGAGAACAGACTTTGAAATATAATGAATAAAGAGCTTAAGCTTGAATAATGAGCTTAATTAGAACAAGTGTATTCTTGCTGCACACATTGTGTTGCTAACATTTAAAGATTAAATCACGCAAATGCTACTCCAGCAAAAACGAAATCAATCTGCCAGTAGCTAAATTATACTGAAATAAAGCATGTTGAAAAGTCATGACTGCCAAAAGTGTTTTGACGAATCACGAAAAAAACGTAGCTAATGGTCCAATCCAGTTGTAATGCTAAAATTTAACGGGGGGGACAATGAAAGAACTAAAAGTTTTAAATATACTCACCTATATTGACATCTATTAGATCTGGTGAAGTAGTGACATCTTCCAGGTTCACAATGTACATAACAATCACTCCATTTTCATTCTTAATTGGAGCTACCAGTAAAGAGCATAAGAAAGCTGTTCCTGTTGTGGATGAGAAAAAAGCGTAGTTAATGACACGACAGCTTGACTATAATTTTGATGTCTTGGTGTTTTTTTCTGACTTCAGTTCAAACGTGCGAAATATAAATGGTCAATTGACCACCGTATCATTCAACATTACAGAACTTGCTCTTTTTCATCACATCCAAGACTGTTTACTGTATTATATGCTGCAAATAATTATATGATGTGGTCTTGTTTGAATGTTCATCACCATTTTGGCTGATGCATTATAACTTATTACCACAGTTATAACTGAATAGGTGTTTGTTGAAAATTTTAAAATAGTTGTTTGTTGAAAATGTTTGAATACCAAACTAAATAGGTGTTTGTTGAAAATGTTTAAATACCAAACTAAATAGGTGTTTGTTGAAAGTGTTTAGTTTCTTTGTTGATGTAAAAAGATACCATATATACAAATATGCAAGATATCATATATTCGTGCAAACATGTACAACTTTGTACTTGTGATTAAACATCTTTCTTGAATCATTTCATCAGAAAGCTTGAAGAAGACATCTATATTCTTGCAAATTTATGTTGATTGATTTCGTTTTTATATTGATGTTGATGTAGTGACGTCACGAATAAACTGCCAATGTTGAAATTGCGGGCAACAAACCAGATGTCATGTGAAGAGGTTTTCGAAATCATGTATATTTCGTGTTTGTTTGGTTTTCATCTTGTTTCTTTTTATTTTGAAATTTCATTTGTAGTACAGGAAAATAGTTATATGATTACTAACACAATGTCAAATTATTTCATTTTCTTTGCGATCTAAAACGATCGAAATACATCGTAGTGACTGATGGATGATACACTTCGTAGATACTCTTCGGCTGTGGTCAAAATATCACGTAAAAAGACAATATTAATATAGCATTTAAAATACTTCTGCTCAGACTGCATTAATATTTTGCTAAAAACACAACAATGAACTTCTAATTATTTTGATAGATAAGTTATCTTAGATTGCAATCCAACCGTGTATTGTTTACATACTTTTTACATATGATTAAATGCAAAACGTGTTAAACTAAACTCTTTTTTAAATTAAAGCAACATTAACAAATTCAAATTCGAAAATTAAAATTTTAGAAATCATCGAATGGCGACTTGTTTCCAACAACTCAAAAATTTTATTTTCGACAACAATTTTTCTTTGGCGTCACCTTGCGAAAATCCTGGAGACAATTACGTTGTCTTCATCCAACATTTTACAACGATAATACGGCTCACAGCAATACATCATTAACTCAATGAGAAATTTGAGCACGGAGATTTTTAATTAAAATTCATTCTGTGTTTGTTGCAAGCACCACTGATGATTTTAAAAATTTAAAACATTGTAGAAAATTTAAATTAAGATAGAAAATCTCTGTTGAGCCCAGAAAATGTGGAAGACAAACAGTTTAAGAAATTTACTTGCCGTTTTTCTTATAAAGGAGAAGTTGAACCTTCTTTTCGTCACTTGTACGTAAAGCGTCTCCGATGGCTTCCACAGCAACGGGATCTGTTCCCTGACCGCATAAGAAATCGCAGTTTGTCGGCTTTTGCAACAATTCTGTTCGCTTGTATCCGGTTAAACGACAAAATCCTTCATTAGAATATACGATTGGGATATCAACAAACTGAGCATTTCCCAAAATGAAATTCCTTTCAGCTATATGAATATGAGACGTCTCATTAAGTGATTGTTTATTATAAACATTCTATATGTACTCCTTTTGTTTGGAGTTATATCAAACAAAACAGATCAATACTTACGTGAGCCATCGAACTTTCTTATAATAGTTTCAATAAAGACATTTTGAGGTGACATCAAGCCTTTCTTTACAGGCATGTCAGCAAGTGACATCAACTGGCCCTTATGACATCGTAAATTCGACAGCTACGCTATAAACATTTACAGTGATATTATTTATCGCTTGCACATATTAGCATATGAGTTGCAACTCTGTCGTAGCACTCTAATATACAATATCCGATATTTATTGGTTGAAGTTCACAAAAAGTTGTTTCCTAAAACTCAATTTACGCTTCAAATTGACAATAAAACTAACAACACAGCGTTGCTTTTATCTTTGAATGTGTTTGATCTGATCGCTATGACTTGATAACTATGACAGCATGGCGCAAATGAACTAAGATTAGAAGTTTCAAACGACATAATGAATGTAGACCACATAAAAAGAAAATACGAAAACAAATTAGAAATCTCGGTGTATTGTTTGAATTAAGACATTACTGATTTGTGTAAAGCAGAATTCAATGTTTTCTGCATATCTGTCGAATGTCGATAATGAAGCTCTTTCGGATCCAAACTGATCTACACTGGGACATTTTACGAGAAATCTATGGGGTCTGAACTTATCTATTTTAGGAAATTTTTTAAATAGTCTTTTGGATCAAGACTAATCTACTTGGAGACAATTTTGAGAATATTTTTGAACTCAAACTAATCAGGCTACATGGGGACATTTTAATATGGAATCTTTTGGATCCAAAGTAATGTTGTCTGCATGAGGACATTTTATAAGAATTTTTCGGCATATAAAGTAAACTACGCGTTGACATACATGAGAAATCTTTCAGAACGTTAAGTGTTATTTAAGCTAAACATACAACTTTCAAAATCAAGTTTTAACTTAACCCAAAAGTAAAGTACGCACCTTTGAGCGGCCATATCAGTATAATTTACTGCTGGAAAAGATTGATTGAACAATGACTCAATTTTCTTAATTTTAGTCCTTTGTGTCTGATACATGGTGCAATGTATATGTAAGAAACTGTTCTCAAATTAATGAATTTACCTTTTTTAGAGTGGTAAGACAATTCTCACATTAATCAGAATATCATAAATAGGTAACTTAAAGCGTCATTTAGTTTCTGTGGTCGATCAGCCATTTTCATAAACCATGCAATTCTCAGCAGTATTACTCAACTTTATTCAGCAAATAGCAGTATAGAAAGCCAGTGGCTTCCCTCAGATTACCTTATAAGTTATTCATTCAAAGGTCAAAATTTTTTGTCGTCGCACTTATTGTCTGTTTGACAATGCAGGTAGAACCGTTTTACATAAAAAACACTAAAAACTGCGACTCTTTGAGCATTTTATGTCAGATACTTTTAGAGAACTGTTATCATTTTCATGTTTTAAATGTTCTAAAATATGGATGTAAGACATAACATGAAGGCGACAACTTTTTCGGACGAAATGTCATCACCATACTCGTACGCCGACAAAGACGTTGTTCAAGAAAGGACTTGTCAAATGTCAATACAAATATTCATACTCTGAATTACAATGAATGTGTAAGCATTTTGATGCATGTTATGCTTAGGTGTATATGACCCCAAATAATAAAAATATAAAGAAAGGATAAAGTTTGTCTGTAATGATTTCAAACTTAAAAAGTCAAAGTTGCCGACATAAATTTTGCTCGCTCAGCATATGTTGCAATAATTGCTTTTGTTAAGAAAAGTGTTGAAAGAGAAAAATATACGTGAGAAAATTTTTACTCTAAGAGAACTCTGAATTTAATTTCTCAAATAATTAAGCCCAAATGCACGCTTGCTTAGTTGGCGAAATAAAAGACTTGGCTTAAAATATACTTCTTGCATATTCTAACCATCAAAAGATTTTGGACTTGATTTGCATTAGTAGATTGACCACATGTAAGAATTCGAGCACTAGTATCTAATCTCAATGGGTATGAAATCGAAAAATTGTTGAAGCATTGTAAAGATAAACCTAAGCAGACAAAAATGATCAGTGGTCGGACTTTGATTATATGAAAGGAATATGAAAATAATGAATGCTGTCTGTCATGATAATGCTCAATGCATTAAGAAAATGGAAGCCTGCTTTAATATGTATAATACAGATGTTAATGCTGCTTACTTATTTTCAAGTGATCACTTCTAAGCTCTCTCAAGTCCACTCACAGCTTCAAGTTGCTATCTCATAAATTTTCTTACTTGGCAAATCAATCATCAACAATATATATTTTTGGTTATTGTTTTCGCTTTTATTCTACCATATAACATCATTTCCTTACATGGAAAATTTGTTTCATTTTATACAACACAATACTCACCAATGTGAACAGAAAATCTCTCAAGGATGCCAAGTGTTTCGAGGAAGATTAAAGTAGCTTTCTTTGGGAAAGGTGTGCTTTAAATTGAATGATGATAAATCTAATTATCTTAATTAAAAATGTGAAATAGTCTACCAATTATTTTAGCTGATCAGGAATGTCGAACAGTGGGGTGCAAGGCCACGTTCTTTTTTCTAAATGTTTAGAACCTAGGAAACGCGATTCTCATAGATAATACACTAGCACAAAGTCGAGTGACACCCTTGGGGTGTTTTATATCGAGGACAAACAAATACGTTTCTAATTGTGAATTCACTTTCCACTTTGTTCCCTCATGTTGGTTAGTATTAAGGAAATTAGAAAATCTTAAAGAACTTCAACAAAGGGACAAAAGTAAGTGCAGAAAAATGAGAAAATGGTTTTACAATGATAAAGAGCATCTTATTATTTGAGATATAGACATTTTTTAAGGCAATACATTTGCATCATTCTGAGACCCTACCGCCTGGAGCTTGTAGCATGAAGTTTTAGTACATTTGCACAAAAAGCAACTAGAGAATGGAGTATCATATCAAAAGTTTAACTTCGTAACATGTTAATTGTTTAATTTATTGACTTTACAAACATTTTCTTTAGAAAACAGTTCTTTTGATTTGAAAGTTCTTTGTTTTGAACTTACATTAGTGTGCAGCCCAAAGTTAGCAAGTCGACAACTCATTAAAGTAGAGCAAAATTTCAATCCTTTATTCTGCATTGTGATGCATTCTAAAAAGGAGTAAATGCCAGTGAATGCAGCGAGTGTGACAGATTGGACAAATGTAACAAATATTATGTAATATTGAACTCAGAAGACACACTCTTTCACAGATTTATGTACGATGTATGAAAGACGATCGGTCACTATTCAAATTATTCAATAAATGTGCACATGAATCGACCGCTATTGTTTAAAGTTTTCACAAATGGAGTTTTCCCAAGATTGTCTTGCGGAACGATGAATTTTAAATTTTACCATTAAATTACTTCTCTCCGCTTTCCCGGAAAAAGTGGAACTTAAACTCAGTTCCAGTGCTCATGCACTCAGCTCGCTGTCAGCTTTGCATATTTGTTTTTGCGAAATACTTCAAGTAACAATGCATTGATTACATTCGAGCAGAAGAACATGTGCAAATATATTCATGTGCAGTGCAATGGTGCAATCTGAAAAAGAGTGAAAACATAGAAAATTTGGATCATTGGTATGGAGAAAACAGATGCGATGAATGTCGACACTTGTAGTCAAATTCAAGTGAATTTCTTTACGAAACATAAAAAGTTAGTTTATAATAGTTTTTTAACTTGTATCGACCTTATGTCAATATTTCTCCACTTTATTGTTTCAATGAGGTCGTTTGTTAATTGTGACTTGTGAGCTTAAAACTCAGTTTTGTGCTTGCAAAATCTATATGTCAACAGGTACTACCTAAACTCTGAATTTCTTGACTTTGGAGATAAATAAAAATGTACCTTGATTCTATGAAATAAGAGGCAACCATCTGCTTTGCCAGTTATGCTTCTTCTTCAAAACAATACTGTAAAATTGCTTAACTGTAAAAATTGATATATTGTGTTGTTTTTTTAAATGACTATGAAACGAACGACTTATATTTACTTATTAGATATGTTGTACCACAAACACCGTTTTCTATCCCAGTAACGGCTAACTGCTCTGATCTTTCCTCTTTGATAAACAGTCTGTTACATCAAGGTATGTATATTAAGGACATTAATTAAACAAGATTTAATTTATATGTTATTTTGAACTGTTCAAAAAACTTGTTTTCAGTGTCATGTTTGTCAAAAGTGTGACAGATTACCTGGTATAAATGAGTAAATACTTTTTATGTTGCCATTGAGCTGTCAATTTTTGCTATACTTTCAGTAAATTCAAAGTTGTTTAAAAGGAATGAGCTGCAGTATCTTCCAATTTTATGTGAAGTTTTCAATACTGAGATCATGGCATCAGTAAAATTTGATTGATGGGGACCATAAAATAATTCATATATTCTGCTATGCCTGGCTTATTTCTTTTCAAAACAATTTCATTTTCAAAAGAAATCATGGCGTAATAAAATATATGAACAGGGTCCATCTCAATTCATGTTGGATTGATGCCAATGACTAAGACACCAATATCTATCCAATGATTTCTTAAAATTCCAGTTTTTTCTTTTATGAAGAGAACATTCTGTATGAAGATAAACAAATTGAGTTTGATTTCCTTATTGGTGGACGATATGTTAAAGAAACTTTAGAAAAGCATATTTCAGCCCAAGATGTGGAAACGGTATGCAATGATTTTCCAAACCAGCATTTATAAATATATTTTACTTATATAAATCCTACATTTGGTGCTTGCCTTTTTATAGCAAATAAAAGCACACATTGATATTGTATTATCTCTACATAATTTTTGCCATTGCAATCACTTTATTGACTAAAAAGTCGGCATACATTGACAAAAGATATTTTGTCTAGTACATGCTGAGAACATTTATCAACTTTTGAAGAAATTGAATGCTGTGTGTAGTGGTGGGAAGCATTTACTTTGGAATAAAACTCCAAAGTTTACTTGTAAGGCTTGACATGAGAAAACATCATGTAAATTTAAAACATCTCTTCCTTGTATGAAGAATCAAATTACCACTACAAGGACATCAGAAAGAGGCCATATTTTAACACAAAAGCCAGTTGCAAAATCAAGATTGTTGAATGCTTTACTTATGATATGTGTTTTTTTTCGGCAGCTCTATTAAAATGCCCCTTTTGGATATTCCTAATCCAGTGTGCGAATTAATGGTGTGCAATGTGCAGTTTGCACATCGTTTTAGCTAAAATGAAAACAATTGCACATCACTTTTTCAAAAGAGGTGCAAAAATCAGCGGTTTTAACGAAAAACACTGTCGTAAATCATATGAATTTGTTCACATTTAAAAATATTAATTTAGCAATTAGCGCTATATAGTAACTAACGTAATATCGATTTGATTATGCCTCTAAAGAAACACTTTTGTCAAAAAAATTGCACATTGTTTTTTCTGAACTAATTCGCACACTGTCCTAATCCATAAAATTTCTCGCATATTGGTATACATACCTATGTTTTTCTAACTTGAACTTATATGTTTTAAATTCATATATTATATACATGTAGGAAAATATAGTTGAAATTGAATACATTGAAAAACAAGCTTCTCCTTGGCCTGAAAAAATGATACTGCAAAATGATTGGATCAGCTCAGTTGCTGTGTCAGATGATTGGTATGTTTTGTATTTTTGGGGGGGGGGAATCATGCTTTCATACTGTTGCCCCATCTTCGGCCAGAATAAAATAGTACAATTTTTGGTAGCTGTATGTAAAAAGACATCCTCCCCCACCTGATGTTCGACATTTCATGAAATATTGTGCGTTGTATGTTAGTAAATATCATTTGATTTTACACAAGTGAACATAAAAAGAAATACAGAATGATAAATTTAATTGAGATACGTAATACTGTTGTGACAGGTAAATTTATGAAAGCACTTTCATTTATCATGAACTGCCTTGAAAGGTATTATCATTAATTTAAATTAAAGAGGTACTACCCAGACTAGAGAAAAACCCTAAAATATGTTGAATTGAAAGACAGTGGCTATAGACTGCAGACTATAACCAATCCAAGCAGTTTTCGTAGAGAAGTTGACTGAAATTAATAAACAAAATGTTTTGCAAAGATAAGTGTGTAAAATATAACTACAGTTACCTATGCATCCGTAAATTTTGTTTCCTTAAATTACGACCGTCGGGCCAAAAACGAAATAACTCGTTTTTTTAAGCTATGAAAAAAGGAACTTATACGCTCGATATTTTGTGAAATGTTCACTTGAAGCATAATTATGAAAGTTTTCCCCATTTCCTACAGTATTCTATCGGGAAGCTATGATAACATGGTTTATTTATGGGATTTCAAAGGTATTCATCCTCTAGTATTTTTAATTTTCATCTTCTTTCAATCATGTTAACTAAATATTGCAAGAAGCTTCAATTACATAAGTTAATTTTTTGGTAATTTTTCCCTATCCCAGGAAATTGTCTGAACTCTATAAATGAGCATGCACAGGCGATCAAAGCTGTTGCATGGATTCGGAAAGGTAACAGTAATGCAAAAGAAGTTAATTTGAAGGAAGAAAAATAACTTTGTCACATGTGTGTATCTTTAGAAAAAGAAAAAGCATATTTTGTTTCATCGTCTCTTGATCAAACTATAAAAATTTGCGAGGTGAGCAATTTATCTTTATTTTTGCTTGGTTTATCACAATTTCTTCTCTTTTTTCATCTACATAATTTCATTTACATTTGACTGTAATATGACAATTTAATGTATATCATAAAATAATCGATCGAGAATAAAGGATGTTTGCTGTGTTTCAACCACATACGGACCAAGAAAACCCTTGGGAGAAGGAGAACTCGGGGTTGAAAGCTGACCAAAAATGCTGTGGTCTCCTTTTGCATTTTGCCCAATCTCCCCGAAAGATGTTGATTTCATCGAAGAACTGTTGAAATCTATCATCTTTGTTTCTTGTTGAGACTCTTGCAAAACAGAACTCTTTATTTCCCTTTGAGAGCAAACATTAAGTGTATATAATATTCTTATTTTTACATAGTGTCCATTAGATAAAGGTCGTTCATCTTGTATTTACGTATGTAAAGGTCATACAAAAAGCGTTGACTGTCTAGCACTTCATTCCAACCAAATGAAGGTATGTAATCCAATTTCAATCGTTTTATTTCGTAAATCTTGTTTGTTTTGTCATAACTGCAAGAAATGTTATGTAGCTAGTGATCTACTTTGAAATTTGAATGTTAGTAATGTAACGACAGGTCTTGCAACGCGAAACCAGGAATGAATAATTGACATTAATCGACAAACGTGCAAATCAATGCATCATAGTGCTTTGCTTAAATTGATGTATTAGTTGATATAAAAATGAACAATCAAAAAACATTGGTAAAGAATTATGAGAAATTATAACTGCAAACTTAGCGAAACCAAGATTGACAACTGGGCGAACTTTGTTTTAAAACCTATGATAGTTGCTTTCTCTTATGATTCAATTTCAACGAAAAATTTATCGACATAAATCAGGCATTGAGTGGGGCTCTTGTTGGATAGTTTACCCTGTCCTGGTTACTAGTGCTGTCAGAGGGTTTTGCTATTACATGCAGGACACATATGGGACTAAATCAACAGGCTAAAATTGAAGTCAGCCGTTTAACTCGTGCCAATGTTTCTACGCACGGTCAAACAAATTTCATTTGGACAGTGACAGTTCTCTAAAATGCAAAACTCGGCGTTCGTTTTATATAAAATTTTCATGAGACAGAACTGCAATATGTCTAAATATAAATTTTTTTCTTTTAAGTTTTGCAGTGGATCTTGGGATAAAACGTTAAAAATATGGTCCGCTGGTAAGTGCCATAACCTCGAATTATCAAACTATACTGATACATTACTGAACACTCTGAAATGTGTTTATGTATAAAAAAATATATGAGGGTGAGGCTCACTACTATCATAATTTCATTGATTACCATTAGGCAGTAACAAATAAATCGGTTTCGTCACTATTTGCCCTTGCTGCTAACTGTGGATGTTCTGTGCTTGTCACCATTTTTTTGTATAGCTTATATTACTTGAATAGCAACGTATTTCAACGAGGTTTTTCTTAGCTCAGCTGTCAGTTCTTTTAGCATGTGTTTATGAAAACTGTCATAGAGATGATGTGTATGTTGTATATTATTAATTTTGGCGTGATCAATGCAATGTTTTCCTATTGTTGTAACTATAATATCAGTACATTTACTTACTTTGTTGTAAAGCATATTTATTTTCATTGCCTTACTGCCAGAATGATTTGACAGTTGGGCGTTTGAGTATCTGATGATCAAAGCCGTCAACTGTTTAACGTTGAGTGTAAATGAACACCTGATCTCTTTCCAAGATTAACATGGTGTTAGATATTCATTCTAACACATATGATATACATTTTACCTTCGCTAGACTTGCTGCCAACTCATGATCTGGATGACAATGAAGGCACTAAAAAGAAGTCAAAGACTGAATTGGGACACAAAAGAAACATAACCAGGGTAATCGAGGATATTGTTATGAAAGAAAGTGTTAAAACATTGATGAAACATGTGCTCCATTCAAATGATCACCTTAACCTACGTAGTTTCTAAGCAAGTGATTACTTGTGACTGTTTTTCATTGTACAATTAATCATTTGAAACTTATTTCTTTCCGAGGGATTACTTACGACTATTTTGATTAATGATCACATAAACGTAGCTTCGATGGCATAGTGTATTCTAACTTCTCTTCGATTTCCTTTGCTTTGAAGGGACCATAAAACAACTGAACTTTAGCTTCCCCAAGTATTGAAAATATTGCTAAGCGCTGCCATTGCCTATTGTAGTCGTTTTACTACAATGTATGTTAGTAAAAAAGATCCTCTACTGAACCAACGTTTTAACTTAAATAAACGGCCAGTCTAAAAATTAGCATTTATGAATATTTTGTAGACGCCTTTGATGACAATGACTGGACATACAGAGGCAGTATCCTCAGTTTTGTGGTCGGAGGAGAGCGAAATACTTAGTTGTAGCTGGGACCATACGATCCGTGTCTGGGATGCCAACTCCGGCATTAACAAACATACTTTGGTCATATAAATTGCTGTTTATTCTATTCTTCTCTTTATATTTATATTTGGACAGAAAAAGAGTCGACTTTTTGTCATTGAGTTTGTAATTTTATATTTAGACTGGAGGAAAAGCTTTCAATTGCATTTCTTATTCAGCTCACTCAAAGTTAATTGCATCAGGAGGAGCAGATAGACATGTAAGATTGTGGGACCACAGGATACGAGGTTAAAAACATTTTTTTCACTATCTATAATACTAAAGTAGCTAATCAAATCAGGGAATTTTTTTAGATGGTGCTGTATTTCAGAAGGCTTTGACGTCACACGATGGTTGGATTTCTTGTTTATATTGGTCGCCAAACAATCAACACATGCTTATCTCCGGCTCTTATGATAAAATGTTGTTATTATGGGATACCAGAAGGTTTGAAAAGACTGAAGTGAGTTGTTTTGTTGTTTCACTCATCATTTCCTCGTAATTTACAGCCCAACAACACCTTTGCATAAACTCCGAGGACACAATGATAAAGTTATGTGCGTTGATTGGACGATAGAAGAGGTAAAAAGTACTCTGTCATTCAATTACATTTGGGCTCGGCGCAAATCGTACTCTGAGCTTTGTCAGTGACAAATTATTGGTTTTTTCCCAACTTTGGAAAATCTTAATTTTTAAAGGCTTGCATTATAATTTTCATGAAATCAATTGTTTTTAAAAGCCGTAATCAAGTCTTATCATTGTTATAAATGTCTTTTGTACAGTTTGTCGTCAGTGGTGGAGCTGATAATCAAATAATAATACATCGTGTTTTTGGAAAGGACGACGGAGCAACTGACGACTCTAGTTGATTTCTAAAAGTATCGCACGGAACCATTCTTGTTGTGTACGGTCAAAATGGATTATGGTTGTTGATAACGTTCATTTTTCTTTTGCTTCAACTGTACGTAAAGAAAGCACTTCATCTGACGATTTTTGATGGGCACAAATTGAGGTTTAACACCGCCGTTCAATCTGACATCGACAATAAAAGTCTTAGCTAAGTATCCGGTGATGAATGTACGAGGGGTTTCGTAACTGGGTCAGTAGCAAGATTAGTATTGACTGGTTGTCTTTGTTTTATTGAGCAACTTTTTGTACAGACATACTTGAAACAAGTTATAGTTTTAAGGAATCATATGTGCCAAACATTTATGTACAATTTGTTGATTCATACGAGATAGATAGAATCAAAAACTTTATTTATATATACTACTGTAACACTATGTCAATCACAGCTGATTATCATGAACAGGGTTTGTAGAACTAATCTGGAAGTTAATTACAAATTTTTTATATCATAAATATACCAAGGCCTATGTGCTGAGGTAGGAAAAAACTAGGGATGCATTTAACTTGTATTATTACTTGTTTTAACAAATTTTCCTTGTACAAATATTCGAAGGACATCAATGCCTTCTTTCTTGTTAACAGTTCTTCGTTGTACATAGTGACATTCAGCAACCTTATACCCAGCATCAGTGAAAAGCTTAGTTAAATATTCTGAAATTATAACGATTAAAATTTGATATGATTTTATACCAAGATTTTCCATAAAAATTTACAACTTAATAAAAAAGTCTTTGATTTGATAGTTATATAACAGTGGAAATTTAAGTAGTATCAAAAAGTGTTGCTTTTTCATATTAGCATCCATCATCAGAATTATTACGATAGCAAGTTTCCCATCACTCAAGGCAAAAAAATTGGGATTACAAAACTAGTTCTACAAAATATAAAAGAATGCTGGCCCTTGCATATGGCAAGTTTCTAGAAAGTAATCACTTTAAAATAAAAATTCTTCAAAGCCATATAATATTGTTCACTACAAGATGTGGTTGTAGTTGCTTCTAATTTCAGAATTAAACAATGTCAAATTCAACGTGTTGAATATACCTGGAGTAAAATAAAAAGCTCTTGTGCCATCTTGACGAACATAAAAATTTTCTTCAATTTTATGACCTTTAGAAAATCTTAACATTGCATGATCATGCAAGCCATAGTCACGAAACAATACCATTCCTCCTGGTTTGAGAACCTAAGAAAGATTCATCATCAATAAATGACAATGTTGTATGATTGGAAATTATGGTTGAAACATCCTTTCCCGGGGAAAATGGTTGAATTTGCTAGAGAAAAAGTTTCAAACCATACAAAGCAACATGACAACATCACGTATTGTAAGTGCCACAGAACAATAGCTCGCCTCTTCATATAATAATTAACTTTTTTAAAAAAAAATGCCAACTGTGCATTTTTCTGATTTTCATGCATGCACATTATCATATGATCATAAAACTAAAGTATTACAATGTTCAAAATAGTTATCAAATGATATAAAACTTACTATGGCAATATTCTTCAATGCTGTCAACATTTTACCAGGTGATATACTGGACAAAACAAAAATGATTGTGACAATATCAGCAGAGTCAGTGTTCATATTTCTAGTAAGCTGATCTTGTGTAATATCACAGTTGAAGACATTTATCTTGTTTGAATCAAAACATGGATTTTGCTAAAATAAGAAAATTGAAGTTTTGTATAGTACATTTGAGTCTGGTATTCAATTGTGACCCAAATGTGCCATACTAAAAGCTTACCTCAACAAAAGCTACTGCTCTTTTAGAAAAGTCACAAGCATGAATGAACATTGATGGTATTTCTTGTAATAAAGGAAATATGGTATTCCCAACACCACAGCCAACCTCGAGTAATGTTTTCCCAACAAGTTCTTCAAGAAAAAATACAACTTGTCCATGAATGAGTGTATTTCACCAAGTTTAGGGAGAACAGGTTTAGAGGTTGGGGAGGGGTGAAAGAGGGGGTGGCTTTATCGTCATGGGACTTAACTAGAACTACCTTCATTTAAACAAAGTTCTTTGAATTCTCGACAGGTCCAGTGTCTATCTTTAAAAAACTTTGTTGAGTTGCGTTTGTAGAACAAATCCCAATTACGTTGGGCATCATCTTCAAGCTTCTTTTTTTTAAAATCTGACACAGTAATGCAATCCTCTTTAAGTTTCATTGACTCGTTCACTGTGAGACAACGTGCTCTGTCTTTGTATATTTGGCGTTGTTCAGCCATGAATGAATGATGCATGTCATGAAATCACAATGAAATAGGTTCCATTCTGCATCCAGGTTGAAATAATGAACTCGTGGTTTGAAAGTTCTTACTAAACATGGGGAAAAGTACCAATTGGAGTTACTGTTTTATGACAATATATGTGTTTCGTGTTACTACGTCACTGAAGCGCCGGAGGATGGTTGATGGATACAGAGAAGTATCCATCAACCATCAACCATCAATTGAACAAAGAAATCGAGTGAATGGTCTATTCAGTTTGAGGTATAGATCTGATGTGAAGATCATTCCGTGTTATATTTTACAAAAGAAGCTTAACGTAAATTTACAATTTTTTTCTTTTCCCTGCAATAATTTTGCTTTTATACATTTCCATATTCGTGTATTAGTAAAATGCGCGGGGTACCGGTATCCCATGATGCTCTGGTGGTTTTCTGCTAGTCTATTTTGTTTGGCCAAGGGTTGTGGAATTACGAAAAGATTTGTTGAGTAGAATTTATATATTAACTTTTGAGCAGCCCAAAAAATGTCTGAAGAAAATAAGGTTTAGTTTATTAAGTAACACTGATGATTCAAAATTTTCTCTTCTTCATTCTGTGCCTTTTGATTTTCACAGGAAGTCAAACCAGAGTCAGAACATATCAATCTCAAAGTCATTGCCCAGGTGAGATTCTCTTCAAGCACACTTTTTAAGGAAAAAGGCCGTTAGTTTCCCTTGAAATATTTGTTTTATCTGTTACCTAAGAGGCCCTATTAATGAAATGTTAAACTATTTACGCATGGAAAGAAAAGGTCTGGTTTGAAGGAAATGTTTATTTAGAAATTTCCCATGATGGCGGTCAAAAATGTGCACGTGTTTTGTAATATTAAAAGAACATGTAAAGTATTCAATATTGAGAACTTGAATAGTTACGCTTGTGCTTATATTTTATTTATTTTTGTGGTTTCATTTTTTATTTTTCATGAACTCAATTTGAAACAATTATGTCAAATATTCAAAGTCAAATATCTGTTGATCTGTTTTTGTAATACAGCTTTAATAGAAAATTGTGAAGCTGGATTATTATATCAATATAACTTCACTAATACAAACTCTTCTTATTTTGTATTCAAAAATTAACTACTTTGTCATTGAATTATCTAATGAAAGTCAAGAGAGATTGAACATACTTGTGTGTACAGTATAGGCCTTTGTTCTTGCTTTAGCTACATTAAGAACTTACAAACATTCCCAATTCACATTCAGTTGTCTGTTGTAGTCACGACAGTTTATTATATTTTCATAAGCAGGTTTTGTGTTGTTGGTAGTTAACTTGAGAATTAGTGCTTATACACAAACAATAGAATGCATTATTCAAGGTAATTGGTAGATAGTTGAACTTAATCATTGTGTTTATTAATGAAATTGGAATGTTAGTAGAAACCCCAAAGAAAAACTATCAGTAAAACAGGTTTTAGAAATTAAAAGTGTAAGGGTCTTGTGTTTTAGACATTTAACATAAATCACAACTTTCTTAAACTTGTTTAATGCATTTACGTTTCTAAATACTTATGCCCTCTTTATTGCAGAATGAATGAAATACTTATGTATAAGTTGATTTACAATAATATGTTGATAGAAAAAAGAGATACACACAGAAGATATTTGTAATATTAGGCCGATAAATAATGTTATATATTTACAAATTGAAAATAGTGTTTACATGTGGAAGTTGTTAAGGTTTGGATTCATTTTTTTAATGTAAAGTGGTTCTTTCAGAAGGCAACATTCTCTATCAGAATAAAATAGATAAAAAGTAATGTACTCTTATTTAATCTGTTGACCATTCTACTGTCTTACTGATTGTATCATCTAAATGTGGAAAGCTTTAATTTAATGGACTATTTTAAGGATTGTCCACTTCTAATTGCGGAAGCTACATAATTTTGGGGATATTTTATTTGAATAGCATATTCACAAGCTTTACATGTGCTATTGAATAAATATTAGTAAATCATTTCTTTAAAGCTTACCTAACTTAAGCTAAATGTTTAATATGCATTCCTATCAAACAAACAAACAACAACAAACAACATTTGTATACCGGCCAGTATTAATCCCCGCCAGGGGGGTTGACCGGTCCATGAACTTTAAAAACTTAACAATTAACTTTTTTAACTTTTATGCATTCCTATCAATAACATGCTTCATTATTTTGAAGCTATTGTTAAAACATCAATCACTAGAGATGAAATTTTCCAATGAATACTTTATACAATCTTGATTTTGTTGTTGAACATGGCTAGACACTGAAGTGTGTTATAAATGTTAGTTCTTCATCACTTGGATACTGTTTTAGATAGTCATTGATTGTATGTAGTTAAATATTGCTCTGTAATATGAATTCTTTTGCAGTTTTATCAATTTAGTGACTATAATTTGCATCTTATATACATGGTAGTGTATCGCATCACAAATATGACAACAAATTGCTAAAAAAATAAAATGTGCAACCATTTGAGTGTTTAGAACAGCCAGTTTTAAATTCTGGGAGTGCGTGTCTGCCAATTCAAAAAATTTTAATGGTGCTAAAGATGTTTTGTCAAAATTGCCCAACCAAACAACACACACTAATGCACTGTTCTATAACTCTTCACGGAGAATAAAATTATAACAATCATTAAATGAACATTATCATTGTTTTTGAAAAAGTGTTTTATGAATTTTGGAGAGACAAATTTTTACAGAAAGACTTTCTAAGATTTTTGACTTTAAGTCCAATTTATTGAATTAAGTTTATGTAAGTAAAAAATTTAAATATGTTGCACAATATTATCCATTATTTATTTCTGTCAAATGGTCTTGCTTTATGGCTGGGCTTTCAAACTATGCAATCTAATTATGTAAATGAATTTATAAATATAATTTTTGTAAACTTCCTTGATCTTATTAGACTGAAGATGTCTTAAGTCAAGACAAAATGCAACTTGTTTAAAATAAATTTTTAAGACAAATTGCTTATGGCCATTTTAAAAGTTATCTGCTGGGCTCTAATATTTATATTGAGAATCAGTTTCCCACCTGGCACCTCATAGCAACAATGTTTTAATCAAGCCATCCAAAGATTGAAAACCATTTTTGAAGTAATTGTTTACTATTGTGAAAATTAAGAATTTTTGTTTAAAAATGTGGTAATCCAGAATAATTGACGAGTCATGGATTTCAAGTCTGATTAGTTGAAAGAAATTAAAATTTGTTGCAGTATTTACCAATTTAAAATGTACAGTAAAAAAAGATTAAATGATAAGTGATCGCAGAAATGGAGGTGAAAAGGTGAATTTTTACTACAGTAAACTACCCTAGTTATTGCAATGTTTTTTTTCTGTGATAACTGTTAGATTACCATCTTCTTGTGTGCCTTGCGTAGCTGCAGAGATGTGTTGGATTGAGGGCTTAGCAATACACCTCTGCTCTGCCTTTATGTAAAGATACTGAGTTACAGACAGTTGTGTAATTAGACTTTATTCTGTGACTATAATGTGTTTTATGAAATAATGAAAGTTACACTTAGTTGGGGGAGTGTGTTTGACACAACTACATGAATATGGCTGTAAATTCTGTAAATGATTCTTTAGGATAATACAGAAGTTCACTTCAAAATTAAAAGAACAACTCAACTTAAAAAACTAAAGCAAGCATTTTGTGATCGACAGGTGAGTGTTGGTAGATCCTTGATTTTTTATTGTTTTGAAAGTAAGTTGTTGTGATTATCCTTGTTTGTTTGTTTTTAATGTCTACTTATAGTCAATAATTATATTATTAAATAATGCAAAATTATATTGTGTTGTATGTTCCACTTAGGGTGTGGCTCTTAATTCGTTACGATTTCTATTTGATGGGCAAAGGATAAATGATGATCAGACCCCAAAAGATGTGAGTTGTCTTTATTTAAGCACCTTACAGACAAACAAATTTTCTATGACAAATACTTGCTAGCCCTTGTGTACAGGCAACAAACTTTTTACAAGTGGCAAATTTTCTATGACAAATGCATTTGTTCAAAAGCTGACATGCTAGCTTTTGAACAAATACATTGGCCAAAGAAAACTTTGCTTCCCATACAGATGGGCAAATGAGATTTGCCACATAAAAATTTGTCAAAAAAAATTTGCTTGTCTGTAAGCAACTTTATGTACAATATAAATATGTTTTAAGACAAAACTGATTTGAGAAACATTTGTTTTAAAGAAAACAATATAAATATATAAACAGACATTTTAATGCATGCTGAAACAATAAATACCATAGTATGCAATGATGGCTCCTCCGGTCAGGCAGGACTAAAGCAGGGTGGTGCATATATGTGGAAAAACAGTATTTTATGTGAAACAATGGTTTGGTGGCTCTACAGCTGAAATATTTTGGATGATTAACATAATTTTAGTGAATATTCTTTTACTAATTGACCCTGACTCTCTAGAATTTGCTTCGTGCATTCATGGATTTTAAATTGTCATGCATTAAATGCAGCCAATTTTCTCAATACTGTTATGGAATGTTTTTATGATCTTGATTGCCTTCTCTCATTTCTTTGCTACAGTGTTAACAGGTATCCATCATCCCTTCCACCAACTACAACAGTGCATTTCACCAAAATCAAAATTTAAAGCAATAAAATCACAGCTGACCTTTCTATATATAATAGACCTAAGCATGCGCATTTGAATCGTTTTATTGCTTCAAACGGCGTATTTTATTGTGTTAATTTCACCCCATTTCACACTGTAACACATAAGATCTAACTCACTAACATTTGCACAGTGAAAGAAAAATTTCTTTTTTGTTGTGTTCATTCTTGCGCTTAATTCACACTGATTCAGACTATGATGCACACTGATTCACCCCCTTCCCCAAGAATATTTCTAAAATAGTATTTCGTATTACAGCTGATAAATGTAGTAGTATTAGAGGCTATGAAATTGTACGGTAAGACTAAGTAAAGTGGGCCAGGTGGCACTAAAACATTAAAATTTAAATAAATAATTAAGCGAAAATTTATTTAATAAAAGTTTTTAACTTTCAAACTTTCTTTACGTAAGGTTCACTCTTCTGTAATGTAAAAATCCGCAATAGCCTGAGGCCTTTGCAACTTTAGCTATGATAACGATGCACCTCCCTTGGAAAATCTGCACCCCTTCTATCAAATGAGGCTAATGAGCAATGATCCGCCCCTGTCTGAAACTATGTATTTTTAGAAAACGTAAGGGATGAAATTCTTAACATAAATAATTCCAATAGAGTTCTTAACTTTATCAACTGTGTTTTTCAAGCTACGTATGTTAATTCTTATTCTGCTGGTTCCGTCATTTGATTTTGTTTGTGAAGATGATATGTATTTTAGTTCTTTCTTTTAAAAGCTTGAAATGGAAGACGATGACGTTATTGAAGTTTATCAAGAACAAACTGGAGGCTTCAGCTGAACTAGGCGGTAAAATATAGGACTTAGATCGCGACCATTCCCTACACTGAGTGGATAATTAATTTTTACTTTAAGTATTTTATTTCATGATATGTACAGTTGTTGTAGACCAGTAGCAAGTGCTTGACATATTTGTTATTATGAGAAATATTGCGTTATAAACTAGATTAAGTAGTTTTCTCAATCTGGTACGAATCAACTTTACAGTAAATCAGCGCACCACTGTACAGCTAATCTATATATTTTCAGCTTTTTTTCGTATTTACGATTCGTTTGCTCTATCTCTCATGAGGTGACTATATTGTTAAAGAACACAAAATTTGCTCTGTATTTGAGACTTGTGAAATTTAAATAGTTCGTCAGTAATACATAAATAGAGAGTAATATTCCATTGACGGTTCGTATAATAAATGTTTCATTAAAGCGTCGAGAGTACTGTGTGTGTGTGTGTGTTTTGTTTGATTTTACTATTTGGCAAGAATAAGATTATATACAGATTTATATACAGTTTGACAGTAAGGTTATATACAGTTTAACTATGAGCCATATGCAAAATGGCATTGCACTTGTACTGGACAATTTTATAATTTTAACTGGATAAGGTTAAGGTTGCACGTGATGGATGTGACAGATGAGTCTAATATCAAACGCGTTTGATATTAGACTCATCTGTCACGAATGACAAATGTTGTTCTGAATCTCTCGGCGCACACTAGAAATTCTGTCGATCGCACTTGTCACGAATAACTAAGTACGCGCGGCAAGCTTGACACTAAGTGTGTGCGCTTACTATCAATGACACTAAGCTATCAATGACACTAAGCTATCAATGACTCTAAGCTACCAATGACACTAAGCTATCAATGACACTAAGCTACCAATGACACTAAGCTACTAATGACACTAAGCTACCAATGACATTAAGCTACCAATGACACTAAGCTATCAATGACACTAAGCTATCAATGACACTAAGCTATCAATGACTCTAAGCTACCTATAACACTAAGCCACTAATGACACTAAGCTAGCAATTCACATTTGGAATAAAGACAATGAAGTAGCTATAATCAGTGAAAAGAAATACTTTTTCCTGTCTTTTATTTATAGGAATCTACTTTCTTGAATATTGTCATATGTTTAGAGCTTAGAGCTCGTTCATAACTATCTCTGAAGTGGTCTTTATCTGTTTCCTTTAGTCACTACATATCACAATGTCTAAAAGCCTGTTGATATCAATTGCCTATGATCCAGAAAACAAGGAAGCAACCCTACATCTACAATGAGTTCATCTATCATGCCTGAAGCTCATCTCATCACTGTCTCCCAAATTTCATACACACCCTGTTCTACTCTATCATATACTTCTCTGTCGCCTTTAGACTTCAAACAACACAAAAAATGCAGCTTCCTTAAATTATGTACTTGAAAACGAGTACAGCTTACTGGCAAAAATCTTGTTGACAAAAATTGAGAAAGTGCATTTATGGATGCATAGTTTCGTAAGAGCACAATAGTCATTAAACATTTAAAATAAACGACAAATTTCTTTAGAGCAAACATGTTTTGGCATACTTTATGCCATCTTCAAAGTATGCCATCTTATGGATGTTTATATAAGATATTTTTGTTCCTTGATGTATCTTGTGCATCATGTTTCTTGATGCATGTGCGCCCACTAGAACACATCTTTTTTGACATTCATTCACTCGGAATTCGGAAAAAATTAATTTAGTTTTTTTGTTCATGAATGGGCGAACGGGATTAGATTATAATTTGTATTTACAACAAAAGATGGAATTACAAACCATGCTTCAAACTATAGACCATGACTGCCTTGTCATTTGGTTATTTATACTACCAGTATTTGTGCTGGATTGATAAATAAAATGTTTTCATTTGTTTATACTTCAAGGGTATTCTTTAGTTTTTTGTTGTTTTTCGTTGTTCATGTGACTTTCATGTATTTCATAAGAAAAAAGTTATTTACGATAATTTTATGTGACTTGCCAAGGAAGCGACCACACGCAACACTAAATGTCTTTATTAAAGCAACATTGTTGTCAATTTATTAGTTGGTTGTACCTGCTGTTTTCCAGTATGTTTTATAATCTTTGAAGTTTTGCAATTATTACTGAAGTATATTATATTGTAGCATCACACGAACAGCAAGTTATTACTTTTGAATGTTTAAAAATGTAATTCATGATTACGTATACCAACCATTTTTTGTAAAATCATATTCTAAGACGTAGAAGAATCTTGAATTATACACGAGCAAGTTTATGGGTATAAGATATATGTTTAATCAAACCCAAGATTCAATCCCTTAAGGAATGAGATTTATTAAAGGACAAGATCGATAGGATAATTTAAATTTATGGTTTACTAAAGCTGCGTTTACCCCATACGGGTTTCGCTCATCACCTCATCTTCACTTGCTTAAAAGGTTACTGTTCGGAAGAAAATCTTATTGAGTTAATAGGTTTCGCCTATTTGATTGTGTTTCTGACATTTAACAATTTCACTACCTTTTAGTACAAAGAAAATTTAACCTGCTACAATAGTAATCCGGTATAGTGTAAACGTTCAAATTTCGCATTTCACATGCGCCGAATGCCTTAAAGACATAAGAAATTGAGATGAGGCCTGTTTCAAACTTCGCATTTTACATGAGCCGAATGCACTTAAAACAAAAGATAATGAGAATGTTTATTTTACCATTTTCTTTTGTTTTAAATGCATTTGGTCATGTAAAATGCGATGTATGAAACTTGCCTAAACTAGAATAAAAGCACCATGATCATGGTGAATATTTTTAGTCGTGTCCAGGTGGTAGACTTTGATAAGCTTACTTATTTCGTGGTAACTTTCAAACAACTTTATTGTGAGTATAATTCATTTGCCGTTTCTAGATCTGCATGCGCAGCTAGATTGCTAACGTATTTTAGCAATTGTTTGTTACATGTGCTTATAGCTTGTTTAAAACTTTTTTTGTACAAAACTTATAGTACCCATTGAAATCATGATTGAAATACTCTTTGTACACGTTCATTAATAATTAGCTTACATAAAATCAAAGCGTTGGTTAGTAAGCACAAAAAATTACGATGCAAATAAACAAGTCAATTTCTAGAGGGTGCCTCCAAAAAAACGCTACCAAAATTAATTATGTATTCGCTAAATTTATTATGCACAATAACGTAGCTAGCATTCAAAATTGTTCAATGAACTTAATAGTTCTACGCTACTGGGATTTATTAGGGTTTGTGCAGTATTAGTAAAAGAAAAACAAGCTTAAACTTAAAAGTGCCATCATACACTGACTTTTATCTTAAATTTGTTACGCAAAACCTTTGTAAAGGCAAAGTGACATTTGAGTTCTAAGTTCTAAAAGCCACAAAAACGTAATCGTATTTTCCATAAATTGCAACGAACATGGACAATCGTATGACTAAATCTAACCAGGCGGAACATAGCTATTGCCGATTAATTATCTTATGCAGATTTCATTTTAATACATTTATAATCATTTGTACGGGTTCCGTTTTTTTGAGACGCTTTGTTACCTTTGCCACCATCACCACGTGCAATTGAGGGCACACCCAGGAGCTGACCAATCAGAACACAACACGTTCATGCAACTTGTGGCATACTTAAATATTAACTCAATCGATGATCGTGTTAGTTGAATTTGTACATCAGCAAGGTACACGAAGATTAGTTGGCAAAAGTTGAAACCCTATATCTTTTGAATAGTTCGTCGAGTTCTTTGAAATCGTGTTCAGGTAAAAGTGCTTTTTGATACTCGTTTTTATAGGGTACTCATTCTTTGATGGAAGTGCGTAATGTGAAAGATATTGTGATCTTTGTTCATCCTAAATGTGAGATCTAACGTATCTTTTCATTAAGTTTTTGCTCTGGTAATTCATGTTTGCTCTATGCTTTGTTTTAGATTTGAAGGTTTTTTGCTAAAAGGCAAATGCGCGTAGTCACGAAATAAGATTGCGAAAGAACGAACAAAATGTTGGTGGTCAGTTATTCACAATAATGGTGGACTTGTTAAACTAAAGAAAGTTATCATTGTTCACGATAGACGTTGATCATGACTGCTTTTGTTGACTAAATTCTCTTGAGGTTGAGCGATCGGTTGAAATTCTACTTCTTCAACTGCTTTTAATGAACTGAATGAAATGTATGTATGTTTTTGCTCTTAACATTTTTGTGAGTAATTTTGAATTAAAATTATCTTCTTTTATCGCATTATTAGAAACCGTCTCTTCAATGATCCACAATGGACAAAATACTCCAGAGAATAAGAAAAACGCGCGACTTTTGTCCTGCAGGCTAGATGACAAGCTATGAATACAAAACATTCCTGCCTAATCAATAAATTGCAGCGACAAAGAACATTAAAGGACGATTTGTCATAGTATAAATTGACAATGTACTGAACAATGATCCAGAATGAACAATTGCCATGAAGCAGAAAACACGTGACTTCTGTCCGGCATGGCATATAGACATGACAAGCTATGAATGCAAACACTAAATACAGCTCTTCAGTAATGGTGTCACGAGATTAACACCTAGAAAACATTACTGGGCTATGGCTGTCCTGAAACGATTTTCCTGGACATGTTTCCTGCTACTACGATACCTTCTTGATCAATTAAGAAGACAACTTGGTCAATTACAAACGGCGATTTGTCATGGTAAGCATACTGCGCCAAGCTTTTCCCCACAACACAATAAACTCGCCCAAGACCTTAAAGCCATTTTCAATTGTTTATGTAAACTGAATATACTGAATGTGTGATTTAAAGTTATTTATTTTCTTTACAGATGAATAAAACTACGCCTTTATCGAAGCCCAAGTTTTGACATTATTTCAATTGAAAAAATTTCGGTATTAAAACATGGAACTTTTCTTGGCATGCAATTTTAATATAAAAACTAAAAGTCCTAGTTTTCCGACTGACTGTCGATATTTCCGATTTTATGCCGTAGACGACATGCGCCGTTGTAAGAAATGGCCAATCTTGCTTCTGTGCTTGCCGTCTTCGACATGAAATCGGGAATGTTTGTCAGGTAGCCTGAAAATTGGATACGATGGCTTTACCATCAACATTTTGAATTTTTAAAAAAATATTTTGGGCTTCTAAGTGTTCCTTCTTAGTCGACATCTCAGCATCCGATCACTTCATTGATACGATTCCCAAAGGATTCGTCGTTCGTCGTAGACTCGTCGAAAACCGTGAGTGTAATTATGCCTTTTAGGTTAAGTTTAGCCTGCTAACAGGCCAGTCTCCAATACATTTCGGGCAATAGCCGCAAAAAAATCCTGGTGTGCAGTATATTCCACTGTAAGACTATTTTTTATTGCAGAGATTCAAATGAATACACGTTTTAGTACAGTTTCTCCACTGCATTTA